AAAAGAAAAAAGTTCAGTAAATGGATTTAAAAGACGGGATATGGACGTGGATGGGATAGAATATAGTTAAATGTACACGGCATATTATTTTAACATTTATTGATAACAAACTTAATTCGATTGGTGTTATAAGCACCATAATGCGCAATATAATAGGCAATATGTTAATATAATAATTTCTTAATTCCACGCTTTACACCACCCACGGTATGTATTTATCTGCTACTCTCATGGCAGACTGAACACGCCCCGCCCCCTACTCCCCGCCCAGACCTGGCCAGTTGAGGTTGACCTCAATTTACCTTGTCATAAAACTCATTTTTCCTCCTTGACATTTGATTAAATATTAGCCTAATAAGGGGTGTAACAGTCTTTGTGTAGGCTACAGGACGAATACAGCGTTGTAGCCTAACCACCATTAACCACCACAATTAATCGCAATAAGCTCAGCGTTTTGTTACTTTCGATAAGAAACAGTGTCATTTTTCTAATTATGTCCATTTTATCACGAAATTCAAACAATAAATGCCGTTTTGACGCTCTTTAGTGTGGCGTGACACATCATAGGCGCCTCAGTTTAAGAAACAGCCCAGCAAACACAAAATTTTATGTTGTGGCAACTTCTGTGGCATGTTGTATTTCTGCTATGGCAACGTCGTGCTGTCTACGTGCTCGCAACATTGTAACAATGTAGAGACAGGGCTGTAGAAAGAAACGTTGTTGCGCAACATTCAGCAACGGAGACGTTCTGACAATTATTATTTTTAATATGCTAGATATAGATATCCCCAATTTAGCATTTTATGTTTTGAGATTAATTTTTAATTAGTCATATGTTAGATAATTGTATACTTTTTAAATATTGTTTATCCTTCCTTATTATTATGTATGGGCCTAACAGTAAATTAATTATAATCAACACGTGTACACTTTGAAGAGTAAAAATGACATAGAAGGTTAGCTAATTCCGCTTTATTAAGCATGGTAATCAAAATGCACTTCTAAAAGTCATACATTAGTGAGAAAAAAAAACATATTACATACAGGGAGTGACTAGAAAGGAGTGCTGAAATCAATTAGCCTACTCATTACTTTTGGCATAAAGTTAAAAATTTGTCATACCTGACCAGAAGATGTTCAAATAAATGTCACATTAGACAAGGAAGTTGTAGGTTGTGTTTGTATAATTCCGTATATTATTTAGCTGAGGTTTAACTAAACGCAATTCTCACGTCTCCTTGCTTGATGTTGAATGAGACGGCAGTTGGTTGAAATTTAAAAGGCTGATTTTCGCGCTTCAGGGCAGTGACGACGAGTACAAAGTCCAGTGGTTGTCCCAACCTGGTCCCAACCCGATCTCACGGCAATTCCTACGAATTTTACGAGGTGGCTAATTCGTACGAATTCATACGACCTCAATCGTACAAAATCGTACGATTTTTGCAAAATTCGTACTACATATTTTACGAGTTACTAAATTCGTATGAATGACCCAGAGCCTAAATTCGTATGAATGACCCAGAGCCGAATGACCTAGCTACCTCTGACCCCGCCCCTAAACCTACCCATCACGTGGGTTTAGACAAATCATACAAATCCGTAAGAGTGAGGCCGTACGAATTAATTACTCAATTCGTACGAATTGGTCGTGAGATAGCTGTTGTCCAGACACCCTAGGCACGGTAGTACAATGTCAACATTGTGACAACGCCGTAACAACCTTCACCACAGAACGTAATTAGCAACCTTAGTTTTGGCCATGTTATTAAAACGTTGTTAGAAGGTTACGTTGTGGTGCCACTGCCAACGTTCTGTGTTTGCTGGGAGCGCGCCCGGACCTCGAGTGAACGCAATCATCTCTTCCTATTAATAAACATGAATGATCAACTGAAGGTATGTTGAATGATAGCCTACAATACTTAAACGTATTATATCTCGTGTAATCGCTCAACCAGGGTTTCAACGGCGGAAAGACATCCATAAAACAGCTTGTAAACAATATCCCATGTAGCATTACATTTACCTAGTCATTCGTGTCCACAGCTTAGTCAGATAAAGAAATAAACTCTTTTGCTAAATATATGCACTATATTAGCCTATATATTCATTATATTTTACTTAACCTGTTAGTGATGTCTTTTATTTAATGTAGGCTATTTTTAAAATATCATGAAAATGACAGCCATGTAAATTATTATACAACGAATGGGGGTAAAAACATAATTTTATAATTAAATTTAGAAGATAATGCAAAAACTGCCTTATGTGCAGTTTACATGTTTGCAATTTGTTATGTGTGTGTTGATTATTATATCTAAAAAAATAAATAGTAACTGAATTTAGGCTAGTTTGGGCTCTGTTGTTAACCTTTATTAGTAATGTGCAAGTAAGGGCACCCTAATGTTTACAGCATTAGCAGAGATAATGTTATCCTTAAGCAACTCTTAATTGTAACTAAATTCATTTAAAATCAGAAACACAATTTGTTCAGTAAACCACTGTTTAATAAAAGCAATTTTATGTTTAGTTTTTTCAAAAAGTGGGTTAGGTTAGGTTGTAAAACATGTGGTGCAATTAATAATAATAATAGTAATAATATACATGGTATTATATGCAAATTTGGAAAAGTCTGTTTATAGTTTTATAGAATAGTTTTCTATAAACATTGATGAACATTTATAAATTATGTGAAGTTTGTAACAGTATTTTTGTAGAAGTACAAATATAAGCTATAATATCTTGACTTTAGAGTAAAGTGGTTATGTGAATGCTTATAATCCATTCACTTAATAATGGAATGTCAGGGGTTCTGCATTCATATCCGATAATGGTACCGGGCCTAGTGTGTACAGTTGTGTAGCCCAGCAGTCTTTAAGAACTGGTTTAACAATAATATTAACATAATTTATGTTCTTTTGTTTCAAAATTCTTATTTAAATCATGTGATGCAGATTTTGAAAGGTTATCTAATGCCTATCTCCATATTTATTGACTCATATTGTCGACCAAGTCTTAATTCATCAAGCATTTCATCAAAGTGCATTGAAAGATCATAAAGATGTACAACATGTCCTTCAACATTACTGCATGATCATGTCACTGAGAACAGATGCAACTTTACAGATGCACACATCGTTCATGAGCATAATGCATCCTGAAATTCCAAAGGCTAAAATAAAATGGCAGCAAATGAAAAATAATCAAGTGAACAAATTAGATAAGCAAAGTTACCTTTCGCCAGACAGGCAAATCTCCTTGTAATTAGGAATGTGGCAAGAACGTATATGTCCCTTTCTCTCACTCACTGTTGGTAGGAAATGCTGTGCTGTGAACAGTGTTACAATGGGCTGACAGACATCTTATCCTCTAAATCTTCTCTAATAGGATTACATTCACTGTGCAGTGTGGGTGAATATACAGCCTGTAAAATATATGCTTGGCATTTTTACTTATTGTTAGATTTACCTGGATGTTGGATTTATTTTTTTCCTAATTAAATATCAATTCTAAAAATGTCTACAACTGTGTTTATCATGGGCATGACCACAATGTTGTTGTTTATTTACACTATTTATTATGTTTATTTATTATTAGCAATAATTGCCATTTATCTGGAACAAAAAGACATTTCATTTAACACTTGATTTATTTTATTTAAAAATACAGGAGCAAAGCTTGCACACACACTTTAGAATCCGGACCGGAATCCTCTTTTTTTTCATTTCCAAGATATCAAGTTTAAAATTTCTTTTGTATAACAAATGTTTTTTTGTCTTAAAGTGGATTAGGTGCAGGAATAAATATGTTAATGTTGCTGTTTAAGGCATACATGCTATATAGCTATAGTTTCCAGAGGATTTTACAATCATGCAGGGTGGCAGTTTGATAAAATGTTAATATAACAACCGAACAAAGTATTATTTAAAAATAATTATTAAATGATTGTTTAAATACTTTTCTAACTGTAAAATAAGCATGTTGCAAATGTAACTAATACAAATAATATCATTTATTTTGTTGTATTTATGTTAATATAACTATCATATATAATATATAGGCCTAGTATAATATAAATCTATAAAAACAATATACACTGAAATTATAAACTGTAATTTGTTTAAAAATGTTAAAAAAAAATGTTTTGCTTAAATTACTCACATTTTTATTCTGCCTGGAATAGTTCCTGTCTCTACCACTGAAAAGACATGTTTAGCATGCCTTATTTTCAAAGTGTGAGTCATCTTTTTATTACTGCATATTATTAATATTTCGGATGGTAATGCATTTTTATAGTATAATTATAATCGTATTATTTTTATTTAATATTTTCTGCTTATATAAATTTGTTTTTTATCTCCCTGAAGAGTTTGGCCCATATTTACTGTAATTTTTGGCATAAATACAGCAATAAGACCATGTATCTACAGTAATACCATGATTTTATGTTTTGTATTTGTCTGCTCAACCTAATCTGCTACTGGCATTCAGTCATATCAAAACATGTTAATTGTGAAATTATGAGCCTTTGTTCTGCTTGTACGCAAACTGTGACACCCAGATGGCTTCCTCCTTCAAATCCCTCACCTTCCAATTAATTTCAACACAAGATTAGCACCTGTGTGTCCTTCCACACCAAAAAACACATGCCGTATAATTGATTTGAAGTGCATTTTAACCTTTAATCACCAAAGTCATGTAAACTGACACGTATGCCCTTAAACGTAATGAAAAAGACCATAATGATTTGATAAGCCAGACATCAGAATGAAGGTATCGTCCTAATCCTGCACTCATTCACATCTGACTTCTAACTGTTGACTGACAATCTTTGATGGATTACTCATCTGTACCGTGGATGATGCGCCGGGGTTTCCAACCTGCACCACCCATTAAAAGTGACAGAGTTTGGTGTCCTTGAGGAATTGACGCACAGATAGCTTAAAAAGGCAACTAGACGAGGATCTCAGACATCAGAGACAAGCAAACGCGCACATAACCAGACAGATCAGAGAATCTCTGGAGAGAAGAACTTTGGTTCGGCGGACTTCTTTCTGCACAACAGGTGGGTAAAAAATTCATGCAGTGAGGTTCGGTTCACTTTAAACATTTTTGATTGGTTTGGTTTTTGCACTTCTGATAATTCATGATGATTCATGTTTATTTTTTTACTATAAAGTGTTATCTCACATACATGCATTGTGTTCATAATGTCCTAATTCTGGTGTGCAATGAAATAATCCTTTCGTTCGTATTTTATTGTGAGTACTGCCATGTTATTAATATTGTGTTCTATCAGACATGGTGAGGATGTTGTGTCCTGCTTGGCTCTTGGCTCTGGCTGTACTGTGTGCGGGCGGCTGTGAAGTTAGAGCTCAGTGTTGGGAAAACACTCGATGCAGAGACCTCAACACTGAGGAGAGCATCTTGGTGAGTTACAATATTCCTTGCACGACTGCTTTTCAGTTCACAAATTCAAATTGTACCATAGATACCATTGCTAACACTTAGGATTAGGAATTTGATCAAATCACAACTCTATTTCTTGGCTTGCTGAAAAGTTTATATTATTAATTGATCAGGCTAATGATTTTTTACCTAGCAAAAGATAGAACAGCAATACACTCCAAACACCCTAGATATGTTCTATACCTTTACTGTATATTGACCATTTTATAAATAATGGTAACACCAAATAACACCAATTTTCTGTGTATTATTTTCAGCGATAGTGTGTACCCTATTTTTAATGGCCCCGTCATTATTAAAATGCCCATGTAAATTTAAATCGTGTAAATACATGTACTCTGCCTGAAACGCTCTGTTTGAGTTCCTGTCTCTTACCGAAAGCCTAGTCTGCTCTGATTGGTCAACGAACAGCTGAAAATAGTATTAATGTGCATTTACACCATAGGAGATTCCAATTTGTAAAAAGCGTTCACATCCTCATAGAACTCGTAATTACAGCTTGTAAACTGGGAATTTTCGGAGAGCTCCTACTTGTACTGCAGATTTATTTGGCCATTGATAGTATTGCCATAGAAAGCATAATTCCCAGGCCGAGGATGTGAACAGCTTTGAGTACATCATGTATTACCATATCGAAATTACGGTAATTACGACATGGTGTGAATGCATCATTATATCTACAGTATGTTGACATTGGTAAAAAAGAAAGAAAAAGAAAAGCATAATAGGTGGCATTTAAATAGCTTCTCTGATTGGTCTTTTTGTATTTTACATTTGCTGAAAAAGGCATGAAATGTTGTAATAAAATAACTGTTTTGAAAGCTGGTTGTGTGCTGGAATTTTTTTTTCTACTATAAAACACCATACCACTTGCATTTTCTTTGGAAAAAGTCAAATTTATGATTTTTATTTTTTAAATGTAAAGTACTTCTTCTTTTGCTCTTTCTAAGAAATGCATACAGCTATGCAAGTCTGATCTGACAGATGAAACCCCCGTCTACCCCGGAGAAAGCCATTTGCAGCCTCCCGAGCTGGAGCAAAACGAGGTCCTCGCAGCGCTGTCCCCAGTTGCCCTCGCACCTGAGCAAATGGACCCAGAGTCCAGCCCTCGGCACGAGCACAAGCGCTCTTACTCCATGGAGCATTTCCGCTGGGGGAAGCCTGTGGGTCGCAAGCGCCGGCCCATCAAGGTGTACACGAATGGCGTGGAGGAGGAATCCGCTGAGACTCTCCCGGCTGAGATGAGGCGCGAGCTGGCAACCAACGAGGTCGACTATCCACAGGAGGAGAACGCTTTAAATCAGCAGGAGAAAAAGGACGGCTCCTACAAAATGAGCCATTTCCGCTGGAGCGGCCCGCCTGCTAGCAAACGCTACGGAGGCTTCATGAAGTCCTGGGACGAGCGCAGTCAGAAACCCCTTCTCACACTCTTCAAAAACGTCATAAACAAAGAGCACCAGAGGAAGGACCAGTGAGGGGATTTTAATGGGACGGGTGGAGAGGAGTTAATGAGAGGGTCTTATCATGCATAGTCAAACAAAAGAGGGTGGGTGATGTTACCAATAGCACTTAATTCTTGATGCTTTAGAGTTTATTCACATTGTATTCAACAATAAATCCTGAATTCTGTACATAGAAATGCTGTGGTGATTAAATACTGGTTAAGAAGCTAAAGGAACAGCAATTTTAGATTATTTATTGAAATGTAATATACTGTAAATTTTGAAAATGTGCCATAAAATGATTGTTTCAAGCAGAAAAGAACAACATGGTTCATTTCTGAGAAACAAACACACACCAAAATCATTCAGCAGTATGTGCAGTTGCCAATAAAGCTATAAACACAGGTCAGACTTTGAATTCATAAAATTAGTCTTTAATTGATATTCTTATTCACACCACATATGTACATCACTTAATGATTTCATGTAGGCAAACATTCACAGAACACAGTTCTGAAGTCATATCGGTTTGCAGTGATAGTATCTAAACACAGGTTGACTAATTACGATCTACAGTGTTGTAATGATCTCACCGATTAAAAATGTAAATGAAAAAAAAAGGTAAAAGCACAGACAAAACACCCAGTGCATGCAGCAGCTGACAAGTAAAGACTTAACTTTGATAGTTGATTTCATACATGCAAAATCACCTCACATGTAAGCAGTCTAGAACATTCCATCAGTTGAACATCATAGCCATATTGACAGAAGATAAAACCCACTAGTTGTTTTTGTGCTGGTAAATAAATTCAAGGCATTACCAAAAATATAATACATCAACCTAAAAATGACTTCAAAAACAAAAAAAAACTGATTTTACAACAAGAAAACATGGTAAAATTTCTAAGTGGATCCGGAATAATATGACATGACTACACATGACACCATAAAATTTTAGACAAGAACACGTCAAGATGAAATTTCGCACAACAAGTATATTCGGCATACACCACATTTACACAGTGAGCTTTTAAAGTGCTGCGATTAAATTTGGGAGAACAAAATCTTGACATACGTAACCCCTCCGGTTCTACTAAATACCGCAGCCTCTAGCTTCATTCACTAGAGCGCCTCTTGAGGCCAGGGGAGTGAGGTTTACTCACACAGCTCTTACTAGCTAGCCTCCGTTACACTCTACCCCTAAACCTCAGTCCCATCCGGGTCACGGCACCAGTGTAACTGGTCCTACTCACACCGCTCTGAGCGGGATTCGAACCAGCATCACTTGCATGGGTAGTGGGCATACTAACAAGGATGCTAAAGACCGCAGCCTCCAGCGTCAGTCGCTAGTGCGCCTCTTCAGGCCAGGGGTGTGAGTTTTACTCTCACTGCTCTTACTAGCTGGCCTCCGTTACACATAAACCTGAAATTATTCATTCATTTTTGCACAAAAAAAAGGAAACACTGTACACGCGACAAATGAAATGCATATCATGGCAAAAAAGGGAGATAACTGATCCTTTTAGATCCATTTGTGAAATTCGCATTAAAAGTGTGGTCACGTTAGCGAAACTTCAGCAAATTTTGCGAGCAAAGTAGGTCCATTGTCAATACTGTACTGTATGTAGTGATGTATGAAGTGCCGCTTACTCAGTGGTCACTTCCAAACCAAACGGCTTTACTTTGGTAAACCCGGCGAATTTGTGTGTTAAATGTTCAACAAACTTGAATTAGTTGTGTAATCCGTATGTTTACGTCACGTGTCCTGTTGACATGACTGCATTTCAGATTTCACTTTATAAAGGTAAATGGGTCTGCACCCTTGGGCCGGTGAAATTTTGACGAAATTTCGTTAATGTGATTTTGTTCGCGAAATTTTGCAAAAGTTTTGCTAATGTGACCGTGTGACCTAAGAAGTCTTGTCAATTCACTCTGGTTCAGAAAAAAATATTTATGCAATCAAACAAACATTACGCAAATGAAAACTCTTACCCTTTACCTATTAGTGAGGTACAGATGTAGGAAACTGCAGCGATTATAGTAATAAATGATGATACGGGACTGACTTTACTATGTGACCATTCATTTTCTTACACAGTGTCATTAAATGTATACTCCACCAAAAATGTTGAATTTTCTCATCATTCATCTCATCACCCTCATGCCACCCCAGATGTTTATTGCATTATATGGACTTTTCTAAAAATCTCCATTTGTGTGCCACAGAATAAAGAAAATCATGCATATGGTGTGGCATGTGGGTGAGTAAATGATGAGAGAATTTAAATTTTTATCCCTTTAACCATCACTTCTGATTGGAAAACTGCATTCAATTGAACTGGAAACGTACTATTTGCTGTATTTTCTCTTCAGCTTCTACCCAATAGTTTTAATTTTTAAATTCAATAATTATTGCTTTAAATACAACTGTTATTGCAGCATGTAGAGACGTTTAAACATGCAAACAAAGCTTGTATTTAGCTAAACTGTTTGTACCCACACATTGAAAAAGGTTTTGGAAACATTAGGACATTCTTAAACAAATGTTCTTAACTTAAGATACAAAATTTAAGGCAGCTTTACTTTTTAGTAGTACAAGAAAACCAATCACTTGCTCTGAACAACAGACTCTCTACGCAGACAAGCTACGATCATTTGTCAATAAATTCTGCCCTTTTTTATCTAGACTAAGTGTTTTTAAGTGCATATTTAACCAACATATTGTAAATTCTCTTGGTTTGTTTGTCTTTGTTGGCATAAATAGACCTCAGGATAAAGTACAGCCATAATCCTTATCTAAAGTCCGATAATAAACTAGACTAGTGTTTCTCAACTGGTGGGTCGCAAGACCATTTTGAGTGGGTTGTGGAGTGTGCAGTTAAAGAAACTACAACAAACGTAATTCTATGTTTTTCTGATGCAAGACTTTTATTTTGAAAGACGTGTGTGAAAGCTGTTGACACTTCTGTCAGACGCAGTTTAACTGAAGACTGCCAGAGAAAAACGTGTTGTCCTGATTCAGTATCTGCGGTCAGATGAGATGTTGTCAGTGTCATTATTCTAACGTTATTTCATACCTTGTTACGTAATAAAGTCTCTCACCTCAGAAAAACAAACTTTCCTGTCCTGTCAGACGTTATACTATGCTTGTAGCGCGCAAATGTGGCGGCACGTGCTGTATATAACTTATCACAGAAATTATAAGCATGCAATGTCGTAGTTATGTTGTCAATTAGTAAGTCATGAAAAAAGTACCAATAAATTATGTAACAGGTACTTCGTGTGTAAGTTGGGGGAAGGATTTGCATGCTGTTCTATGACAACACTGTGTTATTTTGTATATTTTATTTGTGGCGGCTCTTACTAGCTTACTTTATTGTATTAAAAAAAATAGTTTAGTGTTAGTGATATTCTTACAATTTATATGTGCGCAAGTAAAGTGGGATGGCACTTATGTGTGAGTTGACCATTTTTGATAAATAAATTTACTTGGTTTTTAAAAGCAAATTTATTATAATTTTTAAGGGCTAATTATATATATACACACACTTTTTTAATATACTTTTTTAGGAATTAGGTCAAATTCCTAAAAAAACTAAAATTTGGGTCGTGGCTTAATGACCATGGAAAATGTGGGTGCCATGGCCAAACCAGTTGAGAACCACTGCACTAGAGGACATGGTTTAGAAGACATAGTTACACCTGGACATTGAGAAGGAGTGATAATAGAAGGATGAAAACAGCTGTATGAGGCGACTGGGACTCCAGGGTATCTCAGTATACACAGAGGTCTGGAAAGTTCATTTCATACACTGGTATGGAGCGGGTCCGGCCGTGACCGTTCCCGACAGAGCCAGACGGACTCGGCGGAGGCCTATCCAACCGAGAGAGAGAAAGAAAGATGAAACAAATGTCAATCACATGAGACAGACAATACAGCCTTTTTCCATTGTAGTGGATTCAAACTGTATGTATTTTTATGTATGATATTACATAGTATATATCGTCCTTTATGCACAATTGAATGTTTAGAAAAGCTAATTTATAAACTGTTGCAGAAGATCATGTACCTGATTGTGATTTCGAAGATTTGGTTGAGTTTATTCTGCAGTAGGGAAGCCTACAAAAAAAAACAGTACAGGAGAGTTCATCCACAATATAAAAAGAAACGAACAGATGTAGGTGCTGAACAGAAGAGCTGTGTTTGTGCTTTTTGATGATAAAATTAGAGCTAGAGAGTGTGTGTATACAGGCTTGCTGCATTAGACTCACCCTGGCCCCGCAGTGGGCTGCTATCTCTTCAAATGGAGCGTTCTGAAACCTCTCCACCACCTGCCTTCTGCGCTCTCTCTCCAGCTCCTCCACATTCACACTGTCTACTGAACACACACGCACACACTCACGGGTGATTCTATGCTAACTGCCACAGACCAGCCTACAAAATGTCCTTTTTACCCTTTAAAATTTTACTTAAATTTAACGATATAACTACTAATAAAAATGTTTTTGTATCGTGTCTTCTCTAGTCCTTTCACTGTTTAATGAAAAAGGATAATTTCAAATCATATTTTATAGAAATCAGAATCAGTAAAGGGTTATTTCACCCAAAAATTCTAAATTCTGTTATTAAATACTCTCAGGTCGTTCTAAACACGTTAGACATTTGATTATCTTTGGAACACAAATGAAGATCTTTTTAATGAAATCTGAGAGCTTTCTGTCCCTCCATTGAAAGCCTATGCAACTACCACTTTCAAGCACCAGAAAGGCAATAAAGACATCGTAAGAAGAAAATCCATGTGACTCCACTGGTGTAACCTCAATTTGTGATGCAAGTGATGCAAATGCTTTGTTTGTGCAAAAAAAAAAAAGTAACACTTTAATTACAAAATATTAATCTCCAGTGCGCATTCACGCAACAGCGTCAACACAACACGCATGAGTCGTGGTGCTCTCGTGAACGAGCATTTTACGAGATTCATATTTTGTAAATAAAATGTGGTAAATTATGTTTTTTTTTTGCGTTTTTTAGCACTCACGTCACTTCATAAAATTGAGGTTAAACCACTGGAGTCTTACTTTAATTATGTCTTTACTATTTTTCTGGGGGTTGAAAGTGGTAGTTGCGTAGCTGTCAATGGAGTGACAGAAAGCTCTCAGATTTCATCAAGATCTTCATTTAGGCTTACCGGTTGCGACATGAGGGTGAGTATAATTAATGACAGAATTTTCATTTTTGGGTGAACTAACCCTTTTATCAGAGAGACAGTTCTGCAGTATAAAAATTACCCAATAACGTTAAAAAGTTTAGGGTCGGTAAGATTTTTTAAATCTTAAGTTTAAAAGAAGTTTTTAAAAGAAGTCTTATGTTCACCTTGGCTGCATTTATTTGATCAAAAATACAGTAAAAACAGTAATATTGTGAAATATTTTTTTACAATTTAAAATACATTAACAATATTTTACAATGTAATTTATTAATGTAATGGCAAAGTCTTCAGTGTCACATAATCCTTCAGAAATCATAATATGCTGATGTGGTGCTCAAGAAACATTTCTAATTATCAATTTTGAAACAGTGATACTTTTTTCAGCATTCTGGGATAAATATATAGCTCAAAATATTTTTTGTATTAATGTCACTTTTGATCAATTTAATGCATCCTTGCTGAATAATAGTATTCTTTACTTAAAAATAAATAAATAAATAAATAAGGTACTCAACCCAAACTTTTGAACGGTAGTGTACATACAAAGTCAATACAAGTAAACTCAAATCATACAAGACTTACCAATGGCTTGTTTAAGAGTTTCAAATGTTATTTGCTCTGC